AGATGTTTGGATACCTGTTCTGTTAGTGTCCTTTTCTTGGCACCTGTCTTCACAAACCAGAATCCTGGATGTCAAAAGTCCAGACTTTTTTTATGGTTGACAAGTAAAGTGTGGTTTTTCAAATTACTTCTCCATTTGGTAGCCTGATCCAGAAGACTCAGTCCTTAGGAGCTAAATAGCAGAGATTTTGCCATCACAGTGCACCAGAAGTAAAAGTAGTCTATGTAGATCAGGGGTGCCCATAAGGTTGATCGCGATCTACCAGTCGATCGCGTAGCGATCACTGGTAGATTGCGACGTCCTGTCTTCTTTGGATCCCCGCTGCTCTCCCCCATCTGTATGCAGCGGGGATCCGAAGAAAAGTGAAGCTGCAGTCGGCCGCGGGGGGCGGAGCCGCTATCACTGCAGCACGCCGAGCAGTGAGGAGAGAGAGAGCCGCTCGGCTTGGATCTGACAGCCGGCGGCTCTCTCTCCTCGCTGCACATGCTGCTGTGCTACTGTTACAGCGGCTCCGTCCCGCGCCCCAGGCGGCTGAAGTGTTTCTTTCTCTTCTCCTCGGATCTCCCGCTGCCTCTGCCCGGGAGAGGAGGGGAGATCCAGAAGAGAAGTTGCAGCCCCCCTCTGTGCATGGCCGAGCGGCAGAGGATCGGTGCATATCAATGACATGTACCAATCCTCTGTGCAGAACAAACACTGGGGCGATCAGCTGATCACTCCGGTGTTTGTAAATAGTTTGATCGCCCGCACCCGATCCAGTTTGATCACCCGCACCCGGAACGCAGGCACATTAGTGCCTGCATTCCGGTCCAGTGTGATCTGCAAAAATAGTGCTTGCAGCATTTTTGCAGATCGCACTGGACCGGAACGCAGGCACTAATGTGCCTGGGTTCCGGGTGCAGGTGATCGCACTGTGGGCGAGGGGCCTGGCTGCGGTGCCATTGACTTCAGTGCACCCCCCGCCCCTGAATGCAAGTGTTTTTTCTTTGTTAGATCTCATTGAGCTCGTCATTTGAAAAGTAGATCTCTAGACGGAAAATTGTGGGCGCCCCTGATGTAGATAATCCTGTTCCCTATTCTATACCCAGTACAATGGTTTCCTTTCTTCTTTTGTGTTTCAATTTGATATGCATGCCATTTTCTGTTGAAAGCCCATGTAAAGATGATAAAAAATAATAATTTGGAAGTTATTTCTTCCGACATCTCCATTTCATTCATATTTTATATTTCTTTTGTCACTGTAGTTTAGGGAATATTACAAGTGTTTTGTTGGTGTTTTGTCTCTGCAACAGAAGTTTGGTATTCAAGTTTAGTCCTTTTTAACTCGATTTAAATAACCATTTTAAAACCACTTGGTGGGTCTTTTGCTTAGTGTCTACGATTTGCAGATACAGTTTTACTTTCTGACAATTCCATCTGTACTTTGTGTGTCTGTAGCATACAAAGGATTAAATGTCCTTTCTATGTGTTTTGTAGATTTTAGTGTCTGTAGGTGAAGGCTATTTGTCTCATGATGTATTGATACTGTTGTGCACAATAACTGTACTGTTAAAGAGGGCTCAACTCCATGTTAGATAATTGTTTGAGCATGAGATTTGCCCCCTTGTTGACATCTGCCTCTATTAAAATCTGAGTATTATAAATGCAGTAAAAAAAAAAAAAAAAAGTTAAATCTAAATTGATTCCAATCTTAAATGTAGTTAATTGTTTGCTCAAACTGAGTGCTCTTTGTGGTTTTGTTATAATGCAAGGGGTTAGTATGTAATGGGTCCCTATTTGACAACATTGGTAAGACCAATGTAATTAGATTACTGGTTGGTTGATATAGCTTATTGATTCTTTCAAATTTGCATTTAGACTTGGACTAGATGTGCAATAATCCACTGTTCTCACCTGCGCACAGGGGGAATTTGTACAAAACTGTGCACTTTCCCTCAGCGCACAAAATGCATACATTTTTCAGATGTGCTGTGGTGCATTCATTCTTGGTGGCACGCTAAGCGTGCATGCCAAAGCATTTGTATTGTAGCACATCAAAATGCATGGTACTGAAATACCATGTGTGTTGGTGCCGCCCAGCTACCATCGCCTTGGCGGGATTGTTGCACTTTGGGAAGCCCATTGGACTACACAAATGCACTGCATACCAGTGCATGCATTGTGGTGTGAACAAGGGCTTAGTGAATCCTCAGGCTCAAAATAGGAACTGAATTGAAGGAACTGAATTGTAGAAGCTGTGCCAAACAAAGTACGCGGAGGAAAAAAAGGACCTCAGTAGTGCCTCTGCAGTCCATTCTTGATAACTGATCATGCTTTGTTCTGCACTCTCTGTGTCCAGGAGGCCGTCTTGGTAGCAACACAGGGCTTTGCTTCCTCATAGTTACCCCGATGTTGTGTTTTAATAACCAAGAAGCAGTAGGAGGGGTGTTGAACGTACTGATCCACAGAATGAGCGAAGAAGTGGCAGGGATATCCTTGCACTGCAGGCCCTCAGGTACAGCTTTCTCTAACAAAGAGAATAATGAGCAGCACAGCAGTGACCTCACCAGATCTTGTGAGACCTAAAGTCACAGGCAACAGTGGCTCTCGCACACCAGATGTACTGTCAAACAAAATGCAATTTTCCTTTTGACGTTTCCTTCATATATGGTTGTAGAATAAGTTATTAAAATGCTTGTGTTTCTGTGTCTTCTGTGAGTGCAAGAGTGAGCTGAATCGAAAGCATTAATAACCTCCGATTACTAGCACTAAGGCGGCTGTGTTGGTAACTTTTTTTTTTCTAGGTAGCATTTTTACTTTGTCTAAGATTCCAGAAACGACAGAAATGTATTCCCTTAATGTCCCCTAACAAAGCTTGCATATTTCTTTAGACCACCTTGGCGTTCATGTGGTATTATTCAAAAACCAAAAATTGAGAGAGGAAAAATGTCTCTCTCTCTCCCCCTCCCTCTCCCCCTCCCCGTGCTGCACCAGGGGGACGTTGAGGAGACTCTCACCTAGAAAAGTGGAAGGTATGTGGCGACCCACTCTTGGGTCATGACCCACCAGTTGAGAACCAAGATGCTAGAGGATAGTGACACAAACTGTTGCCAGGAAGTCTTGCTATTGAAGCTTCTGTGAAGCTTCATATAGAAGCCAACTAGTGATTTAGCCTACCAGTACCATAATACTGGAATCTGTTTTGGATCCAACTTTTGCGGTACGATACTAATACTGTTTTTGTGATTCAACAATTTCACAACCTTAATGGTTATCCTTGCTTGAATAGCTTCAAAATACATTTTATTTGTAAGCCTGCCTTTTTTTTTTTCTATTTTTGGAAAGAGCGGACAAGGGTTAGAGCCTTCTCAGGTCTTTATTGCCATGTTACTATCGCATCTGTCATTCCTTGCATGGACATCACATGGACAGGAAGGGAGAAAAGCCAGTCGTTTTGTCATTTTGTCTGAAGTTGAGCATTAAGCATATCAAGCAAGCGTAGCATATGTGACTTAATAGGTGTATGTTTTGGGGAAAATAAGGAAAAATATACAGTACAAACTATTTTTATCATCTAAATATAAGTTGTTAGGAGCTCTAACGCTGTATTTTGTAAGACTTGTTTTTTTGTGCTTATCCTCCTCAGGGCTTCATTTTTCAAAGGTAATAACTGTTTTAAAACAATACCAAAACATAGCCTGACCCATGGTGATAGATTTCTATACTTAGGGCCAAGAAAAAACATAGCTATGTAATTGGCTCTTACAGAGAGGAAAATAAACTATGAAGTTTTAATAAAACTTCAGTCCTGGCTCCTGTGGAAAATAAATGTTCTACCTAGTGGTGCCATTAAATTCATTCTGATCCTGTATTTATTCTTCTAGAGCAACAGTTATCTGTAGATCCATTCAAGATGAATAAAGGTTTCTGCATTGTTGTCAGGATTTGTGGTGAAATATTGACAGTTCATATTCTCGCTAAATAGATTTAGGTCTTCACCAGTTGCTTTTAAAAAAAAAAAAACTATTGTGGAATTCAATGGGTGGGGTAGGGGTGGGAATATTTGCCGTTTATGTGCAAGTATTTCACTCTTTTGGCAGATTATTTTGCTTTCCTCCAGTTACGATGGCTTTGCGTTCTCTGCCGCTGCCATCTTTGCTGCTGCTTTCACCTTTTATTGTATTCTCTTTTTTTCCCCCATTGGGCAGCCAATGATGTATGCATACTGACGTTGCATGAGCCCATCATCCGGCTCCTCTTACAGATGCCAGGGATGTACACTACACTGCTCAAAATTAGCTGACAAAGGAGTTATTTGGGGAGAAGTTGCATACATGGTCTCTTTTAACATCAAAAACTCTGCCTACTAGCATTTTTTTTTTTAAACTATACTTCCGGTCTAATTTTTTATTTGCTCTGTTTTTGTTTCCTTTTTCTTTCTGTTTGGAAAAGCAAATACATAAATGTACTTGGCTACAAATACTTAAGAGGATATACAGGATTTTGTTTGAGTAATTGTGCATTATGTTGGTGTATGGGGACTTTTTGGTTGTTCCTTCAGCTTTGCCTAGTTGTCTAGAAATACATGCACTTTTAAAAACACAGTGACTGTAAATTGCACAGTCCCCATCCACATTTGCACAGAGTTGCCCATTTACAAAGTGAACCTGACATATTGGTTGAAGGACAAGTTTTTAGGCCTCAAGCTAGAATCCCACCACTGAGGTGCTTGCTTAACTCTCCTTGACTGTATGCTCCATTCAAGACTGTGAGTTACTGCACAGATAAAGGGTTTTTCTTTTTGACCCATGAATATAAACACAGGTGGAGGCAGCAGATTATGGAGAGGTATGCAGGTAACATCTGGGTTGGGGGATGTGTCTAGGTTAGAATGCTAAGGAGGGTGGGTTAACAAGTTTTTTTTTTTTAACTAAACCTAGACTTGTCCTATAAATGCAATACATAATCTGCCCATTGACCATGTGTGCATAGTGTACTAACTCTTTGTTTTCCTTCCCTTTTAGCCATGAGTCGCAAACAACCTGCTGGGATCATCCCAAAATGACAGAGCTTTACCAGTCTTTAGGTAAGCTTTACTGTGAATCCATTCACCAAGTTTTAACAGCATTTATCATCTAGTGTGTTTATTCCTTCCAACAATGAATAAAAATATTGGTAATTGTTAAAGGAGAACTATGAGGTGAGTGCTTTTCACTCACCTCATAGTTCTAGCCGACCTGTGACAATGAGACTGTCACAGGTCGGCTCAGTAGATCGGGATGTGAGTGACCACATACCGGGTTTGCTCACCTCTCGATCCTGTCACGGCTCTCTGCTGTGACAAGGGGGCTCTCTGCCGTGACAGGGGGAGGGGCTGGATTCCCCTCTCCCCCCTCCGATCTTCCAGCGCTGACTGCCGGAACAGACGGGGGGAGGGGGCGGGTACAGCTGGCTCTGCCTCTAGATAGGCAGAGCCAGCTGTCACTCACGCAGCCGGGCGGATCCCTTCGTCTAAGTCGGGATCCGCTCCGGCGTCTCGGAGTACTGCGAGCTGTAGCTCGCGGTATACTGAGCTTAGGGTGACGGGAGGACGCTAGTTTGTGTCCTCCCGTTACCCTAAGGAGAACTATGCGGCATTAGGGTACCGCCATAGTTCTCCTTTTAACATAAGGGCCTTGTGTTTGTTGTTTTAGGTGTTTTCTATCACATCTAATCAAAGTCATGCATTGCTTTATTTGCCTGATTTGGGAAAATAAGCTGTTATCTCGACAAAAACGTTAATAGTTGGATGAGGACTGTTAGTTCTATACTAGGGTGATTTGAATGAGATTTAGGCACGCTAAGGCTATACAAGTGTGTGTGTGTGTGTGTGTGTGTGTGTGTGTGTGTGTGTGTGTGATAACTGGTTCCAGGCACTGCAGAGGGTAGGCAGGTGTTTTTACTGCCTGACATCTACCAGTTTGTAGCAAAACTGTGCTTTGCCCATAAAGGACAAAAAAATAGGTTTGCTTCAGTGCCTTCCAGAGTAGCAGCACATACTATCCCTTCCTTAGCAAAGATAATACCCCACCAATCCCCCCCGAGAAAGTCCTCAGCGCTGTGCAACTGCGACTGGTATGATGTAAATTGCCAGCATGTGTAAATGTTCTCCAATGTAGGCTCACTTTAGGATATTTGATCAGAAAAATGACTTGCAAATATTGGTATTCATACATAAATATTTAGTTATGTTATATGTGATTCTCTTTGTTTTGCAGGCCTTTTTGTTTCAGGGCTTGTAGATTCATGTCCATACAGCAAGAAAGAGTTCCATATATAAAGGCTTACTATTTTAAGAGCTATATAATTTATTTGTTTTTGGTATACTTGTTGGGACATGTACAACCTTTTGCAGCACTTTTAGAGAGGATATTATAAAGCCCACAGTACTTCCAGGAAACTCCTGTCATTCCAAAGGGTTTATTGTTGAATTTCTTCAAGATTATACCGTAAAGAGTTGATATTTTTTATGTTTGACAACCTCATAAATTTGATCGGAAATCGTTTTTATTAGGAACGTTAAAGCTCATCTCCGGGCACAATAAACATGCCAAGGTCACACCAGTTCTACATTTCTTTGCTGCAAAAGCCGCTCCCCATCATGTTTACATGCCAGACTTAGTACTGTTCCCCCTGTACTTCCGACTGCTGGACCCCAGCTCTGTGGTTCATGTCTCCGCATCTCTCTCCCGCAGGCCATTCACAAAACACAGCCCCAAGCTTTGTTTTGTAAATGGCCAGGAGAGGGAGATGAAGACCTGACCGCAGTGCTGGCGTCTGAAACCTTTTAGCCTTGGTTCACACCTAGGCGGCACCGTTTTTACGCGTTTGTACGTGCGTTAGCAGCATGCGGTTATTAGCGTGTTGTGCACATTTGTATGCACGTTTTAACGCAGGTACATGAGGAAGCATGTTTTGATTGGCATAAACCGGTGTCGGCAATGGAAGAACGTGCGTATAGACGCAAAAACGCTCATGAAAATGTGCAACTTGCTTTTGTTCGTTTTTGGGCATTTCCAATGAAGTCTATTGGGTGGAAAAGTGCTTTTAACTGGCCAAAGAAGCTCCTATATCTTTTCAGGCGTCGGGCGTTTTCCTATTTGCCGTTTTTGTGCTCAGGTGTGTACCAGGGCTATTGAAAATCATGGGATTTCTTGTGTTGGACAGTTAAAAGAGCTTTTTGAACTCATAAAGTCCTAGCTGTGAACCAGGGCTAAGTGCTTACATTTGAGCGGCCCAGAAGTAGAGCGAGATTGGTACTAAGACCGGTTAGTAAACAATCTGATTTGTCTAATGTAGACGAAAGCCTGCATAATGCGGGGTTGCTTTATAGGGCAATTGAATGTATTACTGTTTTAACGGCTATTTATCTGCTTTCATTTTTTTGAATAGTGGGTATAATTTAACATCCATGAGCTTACACGTATTTTTCTCTTATTTCTATTTTTGATTTCAAGTCTAAAATACACTTTTGTGAATATATATATATATATATATAGTATGCTTATTGTTTTTAAGCATATTTCACAGCATGCATGGAATTGAACGTTTGTTTTTTTTCATTAGTTTACTTGTTTGCAAAACGCTTGAATAACCACTGCTTGAAAATTGATTTCTTTTCTCTCTTGCCTAAATCCCCCGATAGCTCTTGATAGGCTATTATGGCTCAGTTTCTTTTATCAGATCTTTGCCAAGGCTAAAAAAAAAGGATAATACATGAAATCAAGTAGTACAAGTGGTTAAACTGAGGAGGGGTGGGTAGTATAGCTAGTTTTAGTGTGTGGTTTGTCTCACACATTTGACCTGCAGTAATTTCTTAAAGCATTGGTTCTCAACCTCTGTAACCTCAGGACCCACATTTGTTCTTGGTCATTAAGTAGCGACCCAAGTCACACTGCAATGGAACGCACGGCATTAGGGTACCGCGCATTCCGGTGCGGGTGTACGAACTGTAGATGGGAGGGGAGTTTGGAGTACCATTCAAATAAATGGTAACGCAACACGCCTCCCACACCAGAATGCACGGTAGGTGCAATAGCATGGTACAGTGCGTTAATCGCACAGGGCTGTGTGATTAACGCACTGTACTAATGTGAACAGGCCCTCAAAAACACTGACATACATACACACAACCACAGACACAATCTCACACACATACACCCAACAAAATTGTACTTTTTAACATTTTTTTTTTCTTAAGATCCACCCATTCTCCCTACCTTACGAGAACTGGAGTGGATCCTCAGCCTAAGGTCCAGTGTGGGCTGCTGTGCTGTGGCGGAGTTTCATCCATGTGTGCATTGCTTACAGCTCCCTTGCGTGCCCTGTAGAGGTGCCAAGAGCCAGAATGTGACGTCATTCCGGTCCAGGCACCTCTACAGGACACCTGAGGGAGCTGTAAGCAATGCACGTATGAATGCAGCTTCCTTCTGGCCATAGCCCCATCCTATCCCACCTTAAGCTGACACTCGGTGCCGGGCAGCATATTTTGAATGGCTGCTAGGTGGGAGAACTGACAGTGCTGCGCTAAGGGGAGGCAGAGGAGCCTCTGGTCTAGAGAAGTGAAAGGAATGTGTTGACCCACCGAACACGGGGTCATGACCCACCAGTTGAGAACTAAAGTCTTAAAGTGTATTTTTACTTTTGCAGCCACATTGGGAATAACACCTATTTTATATTTGTCACGGGTTTCCATTCATGTAGCATAATTTTATAGAAATATTGACCCTGGAAGTCAGACTTGGTCATGTAGCTTCCCAGACTCCTTGCGTCAGTGAATGGACAAAGGATGTAAAGGATGGAACAGCCAAACTTAGTTATACAAAGTCTACCTACTACACAGGAATAGAATAGGGTATACACGGTCTTAATTTCAGCTGGTTCCTAATAAACCAACCGAAATTCACAGTGTGTGCTGCTGTCGGCACCCTTTCGTCCAGCATCCCTCAATCAGCTGATAAAAGGAGACGGTTGGAAAATTGTTGGTCAAACGGAGCTGGCAGCCAATTGCTGTTAGCTCCGTTTTGGTATTCTGACAGTGGCCCGGTGGCTGCTGTTCGAATACAATGAAAACAGCTGGGTATGATTTTGTCCGTCAACGCTCCTAAGCATTGATGGAGTAATCTGTTCTATTTTTTTTTTTTTCAGGCAGAACGTGTCTATCTGACTTTAAACTCTAAGGTCCCATGCACACAGGCATGTGAAAATACTCCCATCTACATTGGATCTTTCTGCTAGAAACTGTCAGAAAAATCCAACATTGTGTTTTTGTTGTGCAATTACACGCGAGTATGCATGACGCTTAGAGTTGTGTGCACGTAAACTAATTCTGTTGACTAGGATATTCATTTATTTTAGACACTAGATTGAATTTATGTGCATACACATGTAAATCATGCCAGTAAGCTCCTCTGAATGCATATTTGGGGCATTTTGTTTTTATGCCCCTAAACAACATTCTAAGGCCTGGTTAACACCTGCGTGTTTCGAGAACCTGCAACGATTCGCATTTTTCTTTTGTCTACGATCGCGGAAACTCGCACGAATGTGAAACACACTTGCGATGCGATTCATTTCTATTGGCACCTCAAACACAGCTGGCAAGCCCCACGGTTTTGCGCTGCATTTCTAAACGCGCAAGAAAAAAAATGCATCTTGCGCGTTTCAAAAAATAGCGCAGGAGCCTTTTTGCTGCCCATATGGCCTTAATTGGTGGATTTCCTATTTTTATCTGAACTGTAAATACTGAACATAGAGGAATTTTTCATCTCGAGCATTTGATTTTTCTGTTATTTCTGTCTATAAAGCAGCACTTTACCTTTCCTGCACTCTGCCTTGCACTGTCTGTGGGGTCTTGCAGAAACACCAGGTGCATATTTAGTATTCTATTTTAGAGAGCAGTAGATTTGTCCATCAGCTTTTTCAGTCTTCCAAGTAGTTTTTCTGCTTGCTTTTCGTATTCCTTTTTTTTTTTTCTTTCCTTCCGCTTTCGGGGGAAAAAATATAGGCTACATCTTTTCTGTAAATGAGGCATCATTATGTAGAGCT